GTGCGGGCAAATGGGCCCGTGTATGTTGGCCTCAGTGCGAGCACGATGGTTGCTGCCAAGTCTATGGAGATGACCGGCGAGATCCAGCCAGGTTGGATTGAGGCATTCGCGGCTGATAAGAAGTACCTCAGCAAGGCGCAATTCAATGTAAACGATCTCGACGGAGACGGCATCAAGGCCAACGTGTTGGGGGCGTTGCCGTTGCTCGAGGCGCCCATTGCGATGCGCCCTCACTACACCCCTGCTTGGGAGGAGCAGGTGTTGCAGAAGAACCTTCTAGCCGAGAAGGAGTTCGAGAAAGAGACGGGCATCGAACTCGATGACGATCTCGTGCGCAACTCTAACTCTGGTTGCGAGGTCGGCTGCAAGCTTCTCTCGATGATTTCGAAGAAGAACAAGGATCAAGACCGGCCAGTCTTTGTCCCCATTCGCAACGGCAAGGTCATCGAGGTCAACATCCACGTTCAGCGGGGGGAGGTCACGTTTGAACATTTCCACGTTATCAACTGAGACAGTGATGTTGCACCTCCTTGTGATTGTGGGGGCTCCTGAGCATTGTTGTTGCGGTAGTTCCTCTTCCTTCCGCATCTTGTTGTCCATTTTCCTGTTCATTCGCCACTTCCCTTCCACATCCAATGTGAGCATGCCCCCCTCTTGTTTGCGCATAACGCGGCTTGAGGCTACGACACCCGCGGGCAGATATAGAAACTTCACGCAAGGGAAAGGTATGGGCGAGGTCAGGTGTCAGACGTGGCACGAGCGTGCCCAGTTTATCCTCCCCGCCTCCTCTTCGTCTCCTTTGTCTGCTTCTGCTCCTCCCTGTGTTCTCTTCTCGGGGGTGGACAGACCTCCTACCCTGACACGTCGATTAAGGAATCGGCCGTTTTCGTTTCGCGAGAGGGCGTCGCGGCCGTCATTTTTGCGGGTCCGGTTCCGCCGGTTTCGGTCCCAGGCGGTTTTCACTAAGGGTAGGTCTACTAAAGGGAGGTTTGTCCACCGCCAATCTTTGTTTTTCGCATAAGCCTGTTTTTCCGTATGGTTCACAGAGTTATGTATTGTAGATCTTGGCAGGAGCCACCAGCGCGCCCTTGCCCGCGTTCCCACCAGGCGCCCCTCAAGAGGCATCGTGCCTCTGGAGGGACACCTGGTATATTTGCATAAGCCGACGTTAATAGTTTGTCTTGGATGTTCGCGTCTGTTCGCCGGCCCCCGGATAATGAGGTCTGCGAGGATGCCCTGGGACATCTCGGGGAGGGCGTGGTGTGACGGGAGGACAAGCAGGAGGGCGCGGAGAAGGAAGGGCGATTAGGAGGAGGCGGAGGAGGAGGAGGAGGAGAAAGAGGTGAAAGACGAAGAAGCAGAGTGGGACGGTGAAAGGATGGTCAGAGGGGGGGAATAGGGTCATTCCTCCTAGATGGGGTCGGAGCAGGTGGGGTCGGAGGATCGCGCCGCATCGCCGATGCATCGCCGATGCGGCTCGATGTGGAGCCCGATTTTCTCCACGCCGACGGCGCCGACGTATCGCCGACGTCGCTGATGCATCGCCGATGTACGGTCCATGCGATGCGATCCTGCGACCCCATCTATCCGGAGCCCATCTGGGAGGCTTCTACATAGGGAAGGAGGGGGAGGGAGATAGAAAGGGGAGGAGATGTGTCAGAGTGTGTGAGCGTGGGGAAGGTGAGAGCTCTGAAAGATGAGCTGAGGCTTGCCACGTGTGGACACTTACTAAACAAATGGACGATACTAATAGTGAGCCGCTGCGGACCCCCGAACGAGAAACTAGCTCGAACGTCTGCAGACGACCATGGCCTTGACCTTGGGCTGCTTCTTCTCGAGCTCGGTTTTGTCAAACTGTTCGATGCTCCATGTGGATGCCCCAACTGGCATCGTCTCGACCAGGTACTTGCGGGCCTCCTCGACCAGGTACTTGAGCTTGTCCATCTGAGCCTGCATATGATGTTCCACTCCCTGAGCTTCTTCACTGGCCTCACGGTGCGCTTCCAATGTTTACTCCAATGCACACTGTTTCGCCTCGAGCTCTGCAAGCTTGTGGCCGGGGCCCAGCCCCTTCGCCGTCGTGCCCAGCATTGCAGCCCTCTCGCGTGGCGTGTCTGGTGGGCTCTGGCTGGCACCGCCCCCCATCTTGGCTGGCCCCCCCCGCCCGTGGCCCCCATCGCTGGCAGCCCTCGCACACTCGGCGGAGCCGGCTGGGCCTTGAGCAAGAGTTGGGCGGAGTTGGCGAGCTTCGCAATCGACTGCTTAGCCCAGACACCCCCCCCCGGCTGCGGGTGCGCTCCAGGCTTGGGCCCTCGTTCACTCCGACACTGTTTTGGCATTCTGACGGGCACGATGGATGATGCCGCGCGGTGCACTCGCCCCACAGGCGCAACGAACCTTGCTCGCCCAATTGCTGCTCCTCCCACATGCACAGCCCCACGCGGGCGCCTTCGGCCCAGGCAAGACTGCTGGTTCCACTCCACCATTCTGTTTCATCTGCAGCCCTAGGATTGACTCTGAAAGCTTACCTCTGGGCGCCGAGGGGCGAGAAACTGTGCTCCGCCAGGAGCTCACCAAGCGCTAGGCTGAAGCAGCCAGGCCTGAGGGCTCAGCCTCGAGCCTCTGGAGTCGGGACCCACGGCAGGTTAGCTCCGTGAGACTTGAGCCAAAATGGCTACGGCTCGTCTCCCTCCTCCTCCTCCTCCTCCTCGTCCTCCTCCTCCTCCTCCTCTTCCTCCCCCTCCTCCTCCTCTCATCCTTCTCCTCGTCCTCCTCCTCCCCCTACTCATCCTCATCCGCATCCTCATCCTCCTCTTCCCCTCCTTGTCCTCATCTTTCTCCTCTTCCTCCTCCTCCTCCTCGTCCCCATCCCCCTCCTCCTCCTTCTCCTCCTCCTTGTCCTCTTCCTCCTCCTCCTCCTCCTCCGCCTCCTTCTCCTGTGGCTCGGGGAGACCCCAGTGGCACCTCCTGGTCTGAGGCGAACCGCCGTTGACGATCACGGATGCTGGGCCCGCGGTTTCTCGTTTGCAACCTCTTGGTTGCAGTGGTTTTTGCCGCGGGCACATTGTTGCCGTGCTTGCGGGGGTGCGGGCGTTGCGCAACGCTCCGTGCATTGTCCCTTGGGCGCCGATCCCGCGCCATTTTGGCGCGGGGTGTAGGGCGGTCCTTGGTTTAATGTTTTTTCTTCTTGATTTCCTAAGGCACAGCGTTGCTGGCGCTATGTGCCCTTTTTGCGCGTGTGGCCTTGGTGTTGGCCGTTGGCCACTTTGGGCCGTTGGCCAGGGCACGTTGGCCCACGCTTTGTTGAGCGCCACGGTTTCGTTCTGCCTCCTCTTCCTCATCCTCCTCCTCCTCCTCCTCCTCCTCCTCCTCCCCCTCCCCCTCCCCCTCCCCCATCCCCTGCTCCTCGTCCGTACTCGCTGCTCCCTGCGCCTTTCAGCCATCCCTCTCCCCCATCCCTCCCTGCCTCCCTCCTCCCTGTTCCCTCCTCCGCCCTCCCTGTTCCCTCCTCCTCCCGCTCGCCCGCCGGGCCCCCGAGGCGACCGCGGAGTCACCGATGGCACAGCCGCCCCGCGTGATCGCGCCCAACGGGGCTGGCTGGGCTGCCACGCAGCAGCGAGGCCCCTCGTCGTCGGCGTCGTCGGCGTCGTGTTCTCTTGCTTCTCCTGTTCCTGAGAATCCCCCTGCCCCCTCTCTCCTTCTCCTCCTGCTCCTCTTCCCGTTTCTCCTTTCCCTCCTCGTCCTCCTGTTCCTTCTCTCTCCTCCTTCTCCTCCTCCTCCTCCTCCCATCTCTTCCGCCTCCATCGTCCAACGAAGAGGAAAGAGCTTCACAAACAGGAACGTTTGAACGTCCGCTCGGATCTCTTGAGCTGGCGCTGCGCCCCCGTGGTTGCGCCTTGGTTGGGGGGGAACCGGCCAGATTTGATCCTCAACGCAACTCGAGTTTTCGAGGACTGGCCCGCCTTCCAACAAGGAGGAGGAGGAGGAGGAGGAGGAGGAGGAGGAGGACGAGGAGGGGGGGACAGGGAGCAGGGAGGGCGGGGGAGCAGGGGGGAGGAATCCAGCCACCCAGGGCGCACGAACGAGTCCGCGGGCCCCGCCCGCGCTCACCCTTCCCCCCCGCCCTCGACATCAGACACGGCGTTTTGCGCAAGAAGATAATAAAGTGGGAACCCATGCCACGAAACGCCCTTCTCGCCTCCAGGGTGCTGTGGCTTTTGTATGGAAAGCGTGACGCTCCCACACACAAACACACACACAAAATCAAGGAACGCCTTCCCTCGACATCAGACACGGCGCTTGCGCAAAATAGCGCAGTGGGAACCCATGCCACGAAACGCCCATCTTGCCTCCAGGGTGCCTCGGCTTCCTTGGGCCTCGATAGTTTTTACTACGGAAAGCGCGACGCTCCCACACGCCAAAAATCCAGGAACGCCCTGGGGCCTCAGGGTCGGGTTTCCTGCCAAGGCTTTGTGTGGTCGAGCTCCTGCTGCATCGAAGCGGGCGCCCGTCCCCACCCGACGGGCGGCGACGGCGCTCGCGCGGGGGGCCCCGCCGCCGACGGCCCCACCGGGGGGAGGGAAGGAAAAAGCAGCACAGGCCGCGCACGGGCGGACGAGAGAGAGAGAGCTCCCACACAAGACCAGCCACGCGCGGAGGGGGGCCCTTGTCGTGGTAGCTCGCGATCCTGTCTTCTCGCCGCGGCGTCGGGTCGTTCCAGGGAAGCTCGGCCTCCCCTCGCCGGGACAGGCAAGAAGACGGCGGGGGACCTCGGACGGTCTTCGGCCCTCTTGGGGTGTCTTCGTGGGGCGGCCCCGGCGCAGCGTCTCAGCCACGCGCAGGGGGTGGTGGGGGGAGGGGGGAGGGCTGCTCAGACGCACCCCTGCTTCTTAGAAAGCGCAGGCCTTCTCTACAGATGTGAGGCTGGCGCCTTCTCAGAAGCCACTCCTTCTAAGAAGCCCTCCCCCCTCCCTCCATCCCCCTTGTGCGCACCGGCAAAAAAAGATCACTGCGCGGAGAGTTGCGGCCCGATCTCGCGCGGCCAGGTTTCGAAAAGTTGGCGGCGACGACGCGGCCGTGTCCGCGCGAGATTCACCTGGCGCTCGGGGGGGAACAATTCGCCCGCTCGCCCGCGACCCCGCCGTCGACGAGGCGGCGAGGAAACAGCAAAGAACTCCGCGCTCCTCCTCCTCCTCCTCCTCCTCCTCCTCCTCCTCCGATCGGGACCTCGGCCCCCCGGGACAGGGGAGCGCCGCGCAGGGGCGGGAGCGGCATCGCGTCGGCTCGCGCGCGGCGTGCGCCCCCGGCGCCACGGCCGCCGCGGATGGTGCGACGTCGACGGCAGCATTCGGACTCACGCAGGCGAAGCACAGTTAGGCTTAAGTCGGGCCTGTCCCCCTACAGGGGGATGTCGACGAAGAAAAGGCCCAAAAATAGTATTTAAAAAATGGTCCCCAGACTATTTGTTGGTTATGTGTTGCTTATGTTTGGGGTATTTTTATTATTCGTCGAACATCCCCCTGTAGGGAGACAGGCCCGACTTAAAGTTGGGCTCACCGCTGCCCATCCACGCGTCGCGGCCGCGCGCGCACGCCGCCTGCCTGCTGCCGTTGCGCGGGGCAGAGTTGACGGGAAGCACGTAGGCTTCGCAGTGGTTTGGCGCGGGTAGGATGGAAGGGCTCGGATTGCGCGGCAATCGACGGGCTTGGTGGCAGAGTGCGAGTAGTACACACATATGTGTGTGAATGGGTACTAGAACCACACGCGCGGTCCGCGCGCTTAGGTTCTGGCAAGCTCCAGCCCTTGACATTATCACAGCTGCGGGCAAATGCGCACGCACACCTGCAGCGTCAGGAGTTACCAACAGATGGTTCGAACATGGGGTGAAGAAGTATCAAGAACGTTGGCCGAGCAGAGACGATTCCCGACAAGGCGCTCTACGAAGATCTCAAGGGCACCCCAAGGGAGGCCCAGGAGAATTCTAAAGGACAGTCCAAGAGGATCCCAAGAGCACCCAGAGAGGGGCCCATGAAGAGGGCCCCAAGAAGCTCCAGGATGTGGCACAGGAGGGCCCCAACGGGCGCCCCAAGATGGCCCAGAAGTGGCATCAAGAGAGCCCCCGGAAGTGCCCACAGAAAGGCCGAACAGATTCTGAAAAGGGCCCCGAAGCGAAGGCCCGACAGTGCCGCAAGAATTGCGAATATTCCTCGTACTTTTT